ATATATATATATATATATTATATAATTATAGACCAGAGATCACCCAGAGGGAGTCATGCTTTAGCAGGGTCAGTCACAGATTAAGAGGTTGGAGCTGACTTGGCTTGGCCATCACATAAATGTTGGGAGAAGCACAGGGAAAGCTCTTTTCATCGATACCACTCAGAGCTGAGACTGAGCCCTTGCCCAGACACTAGCTCACAAAACCACTATTCTGTAGAGCTTTAGACTTCACAGAGCAATGACAGCCACAATGAGACTGCACTATCACCAATACGCTACTTTAATCAGCATTGGAAACATATGATCAACCTTGAAGGAGGCTTTTAAAGATTGAAATAAGACGTACTACAATTTCAATTTACTCTCTCTCTCTCTCTCTCTCTCTGTTACTGTGATTAAAATATGTGGTGGATCTTGGAAGCTCTACTGCAGCTTGTACAAAAAAGGTAATAACAGCATTCACAGTAATGGAACTTGCAGCTGGAGTTGGGTTGTTTGGTTTCTTTTGCTCTCCCATGAGTCTTCCTTGGGTCTTTTTTTTCCATTCTGCTCCATACAGTTTTTGATCTTTCCTTTATTAAATAGGAATGGTTATCCCCACTGACTCACTTATCTAATAATAGCTAGAACGTTTTAATTCAAATGATTTGATTTCTGGGTTTTTTAGATTAAAGTAAACATACGGTTAGAGTATTACTGGGAAAGTGGCAATAGAAATACCATGATCAAATTGTCCTGTGACTCAGTTCCGCAAAGCGCACTGAATCCTTTTTAATATATTTCACAAGTACTTGGTGGTGACCTCTAACACCAGAGTGGTTTCTCTCCTACAGTAGCTCAATTTCACAACTCTGAATACACTTTTTTTTTGAATGAAAGTCATCCAAAGGTTTTTATAGAACGTTCTTTAGCTTTTGGGAATGAGCCAATTTAATGCCAGAGTATCATACCATTTCAAAGAGCTGAAGGATTTGAGGAAATACAATCTGCTTTCTGAACAATGTGAGATGAATATAGTTGTGGTTTTGTTAGAAACCAAGCTGCAGAGTTTGGATACAGAGCTCAACTTTTCAAAGTTCAGCCGTGGCTCTTGGTTTGTCAGCTGTATTTCCCTGCAGCGCTCCTTTTCTAACAGCCCTTCTCACAGAGCCTGCTCCCGCATACACGAACACTTGCATCAGGAGTAGTTGGCAAAGGAGACCTTGCTGCCGGCCAAAGCTTCTATCATTTGTGGGCCTTAAAATGGGAAATGAGTAGTGGTCCTCCCGTAAAGTGAAGAATCACCAATAGAAGATCAGCTTAGTTTTACTTACTACTTTTGTATTTGCAATTGAAAAATGGGCAGGAACATAAGGAATAAACTCCAAGGGGAAAATAGCAAGTGCTGAAAATGCCTCCTGAAAGCCAGAATCACCTCGGGTCCTGTGCAAAGGTGCAGTCTCCGCTGCAGCCACACTCGGCAGCACCAGGCATGCACACATTGCCACCCTCCACCTCCCAGCCCACGGCACAAGTCGACAAAAAAAAACCTGCCAGAGTCACAGAGACGCTCAGTCACATCTAGCTTTATTTTAATCCCGTCAGAAAAGTTCAAGAATTACACCAAAAAATACTTCAGTCTCTGCTACCTACTGACAAAAAATACACCACAAAATTATAAACTGTTCAGTGGTTTGCTGGAGTTCTGATTGTTGGTGGAGGGGTTGGTTTGTACATTTTGAGTGAGAAATGAATTTACAGGTGGAAGGGGAAGGAAGGATAGGAAATCAGACAATGGCATTTGGCACTACATTTTTAGCTACACTATACAGTTATTTATCATGACGCCTGTTAGGACTGAGGAGTTCTGCCCTCATTTACACCCTCTAGTGTCTATGTATGCAAAATGGAGGACAAAACTGCCCAACGCAGGGGAAGAAGGGGCCAGTTCCTAATTTCCATCCCAGTCCAGCCACAAATCTGAAAAAGCAGCCTTAGTCAAAAGTGAACCTTGTCCTCCCTGTGCACTCTCACCCTACCTGTGCTACCGAGGAGCAGAGCTGCTTTGCAGCAATGGCTGGCAGCTCTGAAAGGAGAGAATCCTTTTCTTTTTTTAAATCCCACCAGTCTGCACTAATTGCACATGCCATTTGTGGAGAGAGGATGTTTTACATCGGCCAGGGCTGGATTAAGCTTGGGGTCTGGTCTGTGTTTGCAAGCAGAGATTTGATGGGACCCTTGTACTCTCAGAGCATGCTATGGCCATCCCTCTCTAATTGCCTCGAATGACATTAAATACTGAAGTATCTGAAGCTGAAGGGGGGAAGCAGGAGCACCCCTTTTCATGGGTGAGATTTCATTAGGGGCTGAAAAGTTAGAGGCTCAATTTTGTTGTATACTATCATTACTCTTGAGAGGCTCTTCAATTCATAATGGCATTTCTTTGTCTCTTGGTGACCCTCAGGACAGAGGTCCCAAAGGGTGAAGCCTCATGTAAATCGACAAAGGTCATGCAGTAAATCTATGCCACAAGCAGAAATAAAACCCTGATCTCCTGACTCCTAATCCCGGGCTCAGAGTATATTCATGATTTCACTGCAGCAGCCTCTGTCTGCTTCCATCCTGCTCCATATCCAGACAGCAACCAGGAATTCAGCCTCAGAGCCCAGCCGAGATCACCAGCACAGTGGTGGATCATTGCGAATGCCTAGATCTTTTTGGATTTACTTAGGCCACTGCACAGGGGTGGGGGGTGTGTGCATGTGTGTTTGCATGTGTGTATGTTCGAGGGAGGAGGGGATGCTTGTATTTCTCTATCAGCAAATGAACACTGATGCTAGATGCAATTTGACAGCAAAATGTCCTCCCTTTGGCAAGCTAAACAACATCACAACGTCTTTGTGCCGGGTTCTTCCTACCCCCTCTCTCAAGAGGATTTCAGCTGTTCCGTCACTGCATGTTAAGCCTCTGTCACAGCTTTCCAGCAATGATAAAACTTTGTGGGATTCTCTTTGCTGCTTTTATCCTCTCTGGCTGTTTATCTAATTTGCTTTTTTTGTTTTTTAATTTCTTTTTCTAACAAATAGTTAAGCAATGATTTAAAAATATTTTTACATTGTAAGGTACAGTCAACATCAAACATGCCTTTGTACAAGAGCTCGACTCAGTTACAAATCAACGAGAACAATGCACGAAAAGAAATATCCATTAAGATGACTCCTGCACTTGAGTTTTATTTATTCCTGTCGTGCTGCTAGCACAGCACCCTCAGCTAGAGCAATGCATTATAGACATGGTGTTGTCCCCCCACCCTCCCGCTTTGCCCATCAGCACTCGTTAACTTTAATGACCTTCTGTCTTGGCAGCCTTGGCTTCGTGGTTTACCGATCCTGAAGACAGCCAGGGCGATACGGCCCGGGAGCTGGTCTGCTTGGCCATGCTGTAGTGGCTGATGACGGTGTAGAACCTGCCCCGGGAGTTGGAATCCTGTGCGGAGTAGTACGCGTCGAGCGAGGCCGGGATGCACCGCTTGTGCTGGGAAGGGGTAGAAAGCGAGAGAAGTGAAGAGTGGTCCCACCAGCCTCAGGCTCTCGCTTTAAAAATCTCAGGGTTAGCTGTTTGCACGGGTGACGCTGGACTCAGACTTGCCGCAGCGAGAGCGTCTGCTGCACAGCCCTGCCGGCCTTCCAGCGCCGTGGGAATGCACAAAGTTTAGAGTTGGGCAGCAGCCTTCAAAACCTGTTGCTATTGGCAACCCTGATTGCAGGCTGATTTCATCCATGGATGGGAAACGGGAACTGTAAAATGAAGGTCTGACTGGTTTGGTACATTTCTGGCATGCACAGAGACCGAGGCTCCTTGCTGGGGTCCAAGCAGGGCTGGCTGAGCAGCTCTTGTCACGTGCTGGACTGAAAGCTCTGTAGAGCAAAGTCCAGAATTAATCCTCAGACAAGTGGAGGACAGGCAGAGGCAGAGTAAGCTGCTTACGTGCTGCTCTGTTACAGCGTGTTATCTCTGCCCTGTAGGATGACCACCTCGGCCGGGGGCGTAGGAAGCGTAGTCGAACCGACCAGCCCCTGCCAGAGCTTCTTGTCTGTGCGGACACTGCCCATGCCTCGCCACTGTCCTAGTGCAGACGCTTGTGTGCTAAGAACTGCACAGATTAAACAATTTGCTTTGCAACAGTCGTAAAAGAGCAATCAAATGGTAGCAAATGTCGGACTGATTGGTACTCACCGGAGTCAGAGTAGCACCAAGGACACAGAGGGCCCCAGGTACAATTATTATTAAATTACGAGATACTCCAACTCCCAGTTCAATATGAATAACTGAAATCTGAGTCCAAAACCTTTAGTCTTTTCAGAAGTTCAGGTTTGGAACTGATTCTGAAATTCATGACTCTGTTCTAACTTCATGTTTCTATAACCTAAGAGAATAATGCACAATGACTAATACACCAACATCCTTACTCTATTTTCCAGCCCACAGACTACCCCCAGTGTGGTCAAGACTCCCGTGAGTTTATGGGTTTATTCACAGTAAGGAGTCAGTGAACTATTTTGCAAATCTGGTCGGGTTTTTTTTTTAAATCTCAACCAGGCAAATAGTTCTCTGTGAATATTCGATATAAAATCACTGGGCAGCAGGGTTTTAGCAACTAAGTTCATGGTTGTGTTCTTGATAGAGGCTCAAAAGCACCTAAAAATGAACTATACGGACAAATTTGGATTTCTTTCACAAAAGACGCACACACCAGCACTCTGGGAGTTTGCTTTGCATTAAAATGTATGCCAGTAAACCTCAGTCACTTGAATGTGTGGGAAGTAAACGCGGGATTCCAGCTGCAATAAATCCATTCACAAATATGAGGGATTGTTCCTGAACATCTGTCTGTAGTGTTCACCAAATGCTAATCCCAACAATTACAGTGTAACAGTAGCTGACAGAGGCAGATGCAAGTCCACATTTCCCATAACACTTTTCCCATTTCAACACATTCTTGCCAAATGTTCTATTTGGCCTGGTCAAAAAAGCAGACTAGACTGTAACCATGTAGTCAATTAGAGTCTATCATTATCTCAGGCAATTCATCCATCTGAAGTTTCTTACCTTATAAACAAATCCATCTGGGCAACTGTGGTCGTAAGTAAAGGCTTTGTATACCACAAGAAACACTATGCAGGCAAGGAATGCAAGAGCCAGACTTATGAGAATAGTGACCTACAAAAGAGGGATAATGTTACTCTACATATGTTAAAATGGCACATGAGCAACCTCATAATTAAATGACTTATAGTAACAGCCATCCTAACAGACTGCAGTCTTCACTCCACTGTGCAGTACTTAACTAAGCATGGTAATTGAATGAATGCTAGATCCAACAGCCCTGAATTCTCACATCATTTCCATCCC